GGAAACCACCTGTCTTCGGACGACGCTGACGACGACGACAACAACGTGATACCAATATACGACCAAAAAATTTTTAATTTTTGCGGTCGTATAAAAACCACATTTCTGAAGTTGAAATTAAGTAAAATATGCATCCATCGCAATAATATTTTTTTTATATAATCGACTTGAAAAGACTGTTCTCTGGAAATAACAACTAGAACATTGTTATCTAGCTGCTCATCCCTAAAGTTAACCTTTGACTAGTAAATTAACATACGTCATCAAATCAGGAATTTTCCGCGTACACAGATATTTGTGATTTTTTACTGATATATATTTCTCACAACAAAACATGATATTACAAATAAATGCTCTTTTAAAAAACATATTTTCAGGAAATTTCATTTATAATACAAATATGTATGAAGAGATAAAGAATGCTATTTTCCACTCAATAGCGTCAGCATCAGCGTATTTACACCAGTAAGTGTTTTATAAGCACAACTCAGCAGATTGATTGACCAATCAAAACAGTCCACAGATTTTCCCATAACATTACTACAGATTTCATCCTGTGTAAAAAGGACCAAATACAAGTAATCACAACTTAGATAGTCCACTCGTAATATGTTATAATGTATAAATATAAAGGTGTGCATCCTATAAGGAGTCAACCTACAATTTAATTCATTTTGAAAAATTTAAAGATTTTGTACTGCTGATAATTTTTGCTGTTTACAGTTTCTCTTTATGTATTATAGATTGCAAGATAATGGCAAAAACACAAAAATTGGTTCGGTGTAATGGACAGTAGTCTAAACATTCTGGACATTTTAGTCAATAATAGATTTCCTCCATCGATAATTGTTTTCAAGATAATATACAAAACTTGCATTTTTTCCCAATGTTCTTTTTTTAGAAATGTCAGTCATGTTGCTTAATTGGTAGGCAGAATCAGCTGACACATTTTCTGTAATACTAGAAATCATTGTTTTTGAAAGCCAGTGAAACATGATAGAGTTAATAATGGCTCTGTAATAGCAGCAACTTAGCGGGTGTTCATATCAAAGCTGATATAAATTACATTATGTATGGTAAAAACATGCACAAAGGACTTAATTAGTTAAGAACATATTATAATCACCAGACACTGGTTTCATTTAACTTTAAATTAAGTGTTTTGAATTAAGAAACTAGATGTGTCAAAATGACACGAATGGCCCCGCTAGCAAAAAAGCTTGAAGCCAATTTTAGGATTTTCAAAGTCTAAAGCCTGTTATTTCAGCAAAAATCAGCGGAGCAGAACCAAACATAAACTCGATCTGTAACTCTTCGTAGTAGACTCACATACTAAAAATTAGTTCAATGTGTGAAGGCATTTAGAAAAAAAGTCTGTATACATGCACTGTTATTTTCACAAAAATTTCAAAGTCTGTAAAGCCCGTAATTTCGTCAAAAATCTGGAGCAGAACCAAACCATGCAAACTTAAACATGATCTGTAACTCATCATAGTAGACTCACATACTAAAAATCACCTCAATTTGTGAAGGCATTTAGAATAAAATGCTCCGCTGGGCGCAGCTTGATACGACCGCAGAGGTCGAACCCTGAACAGTTGGGGCAAGTATGGACACAACATTCAAGCTTGATACAGCACTGAATTTAGATTGTGATTAAATATTTGACACAGCATAGGTTTCTGACACAGAATGAATGTGGTCTAAGAACTTAAAATTTTTTAATTTACCTATTCAAACCATATCATTATTATTTGCTTTTATATATAAATCAGAAATAACCAATTTAAGATGGAAAATTTTAAAGAAAAAAAAAATCCCTCCCCCAAATTTTTTGAACCCCCTTATGATTCATCACCCCCAAACTCAATCCCAGCCTTCCCTTTGTGGTATGGTACCTTGCAGTACAATTTCAGAGAGATCCATACACTTGAACACAAGTTATTGTCTGGAAACAAGAACTAGAGGCTCTCAAGAGCCTGTGTCGCTCACCTGACTCTACTTTGGTTTTAGAAATCATGTAAAGATAGATAAAAATCATAACAGATACCCAAATAATGATTGAGGCCAAATTCTGATTAATATTGGTCCCGTTATTTAATAAAATATCCTGGTGGCCATCTTGAACAGTAAATCGGCAACAAAGTAGCAACACTTGGTCAGCACTTCATAAGGAACATTCATGCCATGTTTGGTTTCATTCCATTCAGTGGTACTCTAAAAGAAGACATTTGTATGTATTTCCCATAGGGTCCTATGTTAAACTAAGCCCCCTCCCCCCCTAGCGGCCATCTTGGATGATGGATCGACTGCAAAGTAACAACACTTGATCAGCAACTCATAAGGAACATTCATGCCATGTTTGGTTCAATTCCATTCAGTGGTTCTCTAAAAGAAGACAATTGTATGTATTTCCCATAGGGTCCTATGTTAAACTAAGTCCCCCGCTGTCGGCCATCTTGGATGATGGATCGGCTGCAAAGTAACAACACTTGGTCAACATCTCATAAGGAACATTCATGACATGTTTGGTTCCATTCCATTTATTGGTTCTCTAAAAGAAGACATTTTTATGTATTTCCCAAAGGGTCCTATGTAAAACTAAGTCCCCCCGCTGGCGGCCATCTTGGATGATGGATCGGCTACAAAGTAACAACACTTGGTCAGCATCTCATAAGGAAGATTCGTGCCATGTTTGGTTTCATTCCATTCAGTGGTTCTCTAAAAGAAGACATTTGTATGTATTTCCCATAGGTCCTTTGTTAAACTAAGTCCCCTGCTGTCGGCCATCTTGGATGATGGACCGACTGCAAAGTAACAACACTTGGTCAGCACCTCATAAGGAACATTCATGCCATGTTTGGTTTCATTCCATTCAGTGGTTCTCTAAAAGAAGACATTTGTATGTATTTCCCATAGGGTCCTATGTTAAACTAAGTCCCCCGCTGGCGGCCATCTTGGATGATGGATTGGCTACAAAGTAACAACACTTGGTCAGCACCTCATAAGGAACATTCATGCCATGTTTGGTTTCATTCCATTCAGTGGTTCTCTAAAAGAAGACATTTGTATGTATTTCCAATAGGGTCCTATGTTAAACTAAGTCCCCCGCTGGCGGCCATCTTGGATGATGGACCGACTGCAAAGTAACAACACTTGGTCAGCATCTCATAAGGAACATTCATGTCATGTTTGGTTCCATTCCATTCAGTGGTTCTCTAAAAGAAGACATTTTTATGTATTTCCCATAGGGTCCTATGTTAAACTAAGTCCCCCGCTGGCGGCCATCTTGGATGATGGATCAGCTACAAAGTAACAACACTTGGTCAGCACCTCATAATAAAACATTCATGCCATGTTTGGTTTCATTCCATTCAGTGGTTCTCTAAAAGAAGACATTTGTATGTATTTCCCATAGGGTCCTATGTTAAACTAAGTTCCCTGATGGCATCCATCTTGGATGATGGATCGGCTCCAAAGTAACAACACATGGTCAGCACCTCATAAGGAACATTCATGCCATGTTTGGTTTTATTCCATTCAGTGGTTCTCTAAAAGAAGTCATTTGTATGCATTTCCCATAGGGTCCTATGTTAAACTAAGTCCCCTGCTGGCGGCCATCTTGGATGATGGATCGGCTACAAAGTAACAACACTTGGTCAGCACCACATAAGGAACATTCATGCCATGTTTGGTTTCATTCCATTCAGTGGTTCTCTAAAAGAAGTCATTTGTATGCATTTCCCATAGGGTCCTATGTTAAACTAAGTCCCCCGCTGGCGGCCATCTTGGATGATGGATCTGCTACAAAGTAACAACAATTGGTCAGCACCTCATAAGGAACATTCATGCCATGTTTGGGTTCATTCCATTCAGTGGTTTTCTAGAAGAAGTTCAAAATGTAAAAAGTTAACGCCGACGACGGACGACGCCGGACGACGGACGACGGACGCCAAGTGATGAGAAAAGCTCACTTGGCCCTTCGGGCCAGGTGAGCTAAAAATGCTTGTTTTTAGGCCCCTTTTTGGCCCTAAATTCCTAAACATTTAGAGCAATTACCCCCAAACTCAAACCCAGCTTTCCCTTTGTGATATGGAACCTTGTAGTACAATTTCATAAAGATCCATACACTTACACACAAGTTATTGTCCTGAAACTAGAAAAATGCTTGTTTTTTGCCCCTTCTTGGCCCCTAATTCCTAAAATTTTGAGGCAATTACCCCCAAAATCAATCCCAGCCTTCCCTTTGTGGTATGGTACCTTGCAGTACAATTTCAGAGAGATCTATACACTTGAACACAAGTTATTGTCTGGAAACTAGAAAAATGCTTATTTTTGGCCCCTTTTTGGCCCCTTATTCCTATACGTTTTGGGCAATTACTTCCAAACTCAATTCCAGCTTTCCCTTTGTGATATGGAACCTTGTAGTACAATTTCAGAGAGATCCATACACTAACACACAAGTTATGTCTGGAAGTTACAAAACTGCTTATTTTTGGCCCCTAATTCCTTTACTGTTGGTACCATAACCCCCAAAATCAATCCCAACCTTCCTTTTGTGGTATTTAACCTTATGGTAAAATTTCATAGAGATCCATTCACTTAAACTAAAGTTAGAGTGAGAAAACCAATGTGTCTTCGGACGACGACGACGACGACGACGACGCCAATGTCATACCAATATACGACCGCAAAATTTTTTTGCGGTCGTATAAAAATGGTCCGTATAACTGTTCGTTGCAGAATAACGGATAAGGATCGGCAGGGCCATAAAAGCTGTGTTTTAAATTGATTTAGTGGAAGTAAATAAAAAGACTTCCTGTCTGTAATTGAAAAAAAATGCATTCACTGAATATTATTATACTGCATTTATTATGAGTGCATTAATTTGTGCACATATGATGACTGTGAACTTTAGTGGTAAAATTCATACAACACTTCTAATCAAAATATGATTTCAATCACACATTCATTAACATTAACCACATTTTATTACTTACAGTTTTTTCTCCAAATCATTTACAGCTTTTTTCAACTCTACATTTTCTACATACAATTTTTGACTGACCAAATCGTCAGGTCTTTTTGGCTTATATGGGCTGTAATTAAAGTTTTATGTTATTAAAAATCATTCTTTCTTGAATCAAATATGAACCATTGATGCATGCATTACACATCTAACCATTTCTAGCAGTATCTTTTCATGAGAATTTTATTTCAACCAGTATGGTTCCTGTCATTTTGCAGTTGTTTTTCTTCTGAAATGCAAGTGATGCATTATAATACCTTCTTTCTCTATTTAAAAGAAAATATGATATAAAGACCTTAGTCTAGTTTATGATGAATGACTGGAGTGTAAATTATATAAGAACAAAAGAACAAAAGTTTAGTTACTTCTATCATGTCTATTAAATCTATGGTATTAATATAATTGTGAAAATCAATAATCTTATGTGAATTTTCATCTGATTCCCTCCACTAGTAGATCTTGTCATACGTCATCAGAATTAAGTTTTTTAATTCTTTTTGAAAGGACTTAGAAACATTATGAGTGCAAGAGATATTCCAATCCATTACAAAAAGCACATAATAATACTGCTAAAATACAAACATGCAGTCTAAAATTCTATGTATTTCATTTGCAACAGTTTTAAATTCAGAAAGAATTGGAATGTTTTTATTTTTTGTGAAAATTGCTATGGGACATGTTTCGCAAAAAAAAGCTCATATTTTAAATTTCGATAGCATGAATTGCATGCAGCATTTCCTGAAATTGCAATAAAAAATCTGACGTTTGCAATCACAATAATAAATGCAAGAAATGATTGCTGAAATTACAGTATTTTATGCCTAAACAAATTAAGTAAAGCATACCTTGTTAAACTTTTACAGAAAAAAAATTAAGAGGGATAGTACCGGGATATGTGTCGTACTGCAGTTCTGTGGAATGAATGGCATATTTCTAGTTTTACTGTCAACATAAAATCTTGAAACATGAAGTATAAAAATAAGCAGATCTTGTATGTTGCCAATGAAACAAATATCTAACAAAGTCTAATTGACATGGATTTAAGCAACTACAACTACAGCATTCAGCAATGAGAAACCCATTCTGTATAGTCAGCTATATATAAAAGGCCCTGACTTAACAAAATATAAAACAATTCAAACAAAAAACCTTTAACCTCATTTATAACAAAAGTTAAACAATACACAGAAAATAAATATGACAGACAGCAACAAAGACTGTGATCATTTGCTTCTGACTTGGGACCAGCACATATAGAGTGTGGTGGGGTTTAATATGTTTGTGAGTGCTCAACCCTCCTCTAAACTGAAACAGTGGTATAACAGCAAAACATAAGAAAAAAGTACCGATTGTCATGGTAGTTGGCTTTTTTATTTTAATCCTCAACAAAATGCAATAAAGCCTAATGTAATTAGGTGAAATAATAGAATACCACACTGAATTTGCAAATGTTATTTTAGTATGGATACTGTAAATTCAGATTTTTTAGAGACAAAGAGATTTATAAATAGTTCCTGGATGACGTAAGGATGATAATTGATTGCGACATAATACCCTAGCTTTTCAACTCTAAAAACCATTTTCTGCTTTAGTAAATGCATTTGATACATCTTTTTATTTCCTTATGCATTCAGACTTCTTAAGGTTGCACTTTGTAAATACAGCTTTTTACAAACCACGCCTCTTTTGGGGAGGTATATAATATTCATAGATATTTTGTTTTGTTTACCTACTGGTTCCAAGATATGATCTAAATGTTTCATCTCATAGAGACACAACTTGTCTTGTACCAGTATAAATACACATGGATAGCAGCCAAAATTAAATTCTGAGGAAGATCCAATGTAAAGGGAGGGGTAGTACAGAAATTTAGTATAAGTTTAAACTTTTAGAAGTTCGAGGCATGTAAATTCGAGACTGTAAAACTAAACACTACAGGTACTTGAGCTTTAAAAAGGTGAAAAACTTTAAGCCATTTCCAGTCATGTTTCTAAAATAGATGCAACACTGCAGACCTTTCCAACTCTCAAATATAAAAAAATGCCCCAAAAAGGCAAAATAAATAAAGAATAACCAATAATAGGCCAAAAAAATAAAGAATAGAGAATCAGTAAAAACTAGGTAATGCCAAAACACATACTGTAAATTCAGAAATTATTGCGAGGTTTTTATTAATTCGAAAAATGAAATTGGATGTGTATCGCAATAGTAAGAAGTTGTATTAAGATATGTGATACATATGTCTGTAGGCACGTTTTCCTGAAATCGCAATAATTAATCTTGCATTTTCGTCCGTTCTTCAAAAAATCGCAATAATAAATGCACTCAATAATTTCTGAATTTACAGTAATTAACAGCTCATAGTGATGATGCATTGCCCAACTGGTTTCAGTACTTCATGGACCCTCTACTGAGGCAAAATGACAAAATTGATAGTCAAAATGATAGTGGCTCACTATTTATATAATGTCTGAAAGTTATTGGTTACCAAATAATTATCCAGTACCTGTTACCGATATAAACTCTTATCCGTTCAGTTAAATATCCTATAGAATTTTCATCAGTTCCAATAAACTAATCTTTCAACTGATTTTGTATGTTACGGTAAGCTTCTAACCAAAAATTTCGACACAGTCATGTTTGGCTTATGATTTGCAGAAATATGAAGTCTTTTTAATGAAAGTATTATTTTAGCCTTTAACTTCATTCCACTTATATTGAATGTTAAAGTAAATGGTAAACATCAAACCTAATGATATAGGATTTATTAAGTTCAACATCTAACCAATAATTGGGCTTCTAATGGGACTTCAACCTCATTTTTCATACATGGTAGTCATGCATGCATGCAGTATTGATGCTTGGCTTATGATTTGCAGAAATATCAAGTCTTTTTTAAAAATGAAAGCATTATAATTTAGCCTTCAATCCTTCCTAAATAATTGTTAAGGGTAGCCTTCAATCCTTCCTAAATATGTTAAAGGTAGCCTTCAATCCTCCCTTCAGAAATGATCTAACCCCCATCCAGACCCTCATTTCTAAGTATTATCTTAAAGATATTTTCTCATTAACACTCAATCTCTGTCTCCTCAATATTATCATGATTATGAAGTGACATATGTATTCCATAACTTAGTAATATGTTGACAGACATATAATACCATTTTATGTTAAATTGATTTTTATATGTACATCTTATATGTTATCATGATTATGTTTAAGGATGTTGGCTCCTCTTGTTTTTGACTTTTTGCCAGATATTCGGAATCCTCTGGTTTCATCCATGTAGTGCCATTAGAAATTTTGCCCACTAACCACTACTTTTCTTTCCATAATTTGATTACATATAGTTTAAAATGTCGTTTTTGAAAATCTTATAAAATCCTTGTTATTTTTTCATCGTTTTTGAAAGAAAAAAGGTGTCAATGTTAACTGTATGAAAAATCTAGAGAGAATCATTTCCCGCCAAATTTTCAATGGCTTATATCTAAAAAAAAAAATGCAAGCACACAGACCCATAATTTTTTCTTCTTTTTCAGTTCCGTTATTTATGTACTATCAATTTATAACAGTCTTTTAAAAAGCTTGTTATTTTGAAACAGAGTAGCAAACATCCTTAAGTTATATTGAACAGCTTGGATGAATTGACAAAATGTATACGGTGATGTATAATCAAATCATCATTCTTTCAATGTGTCATATTTAAAACACACTAAAACAGAAGTATTCAGATCACACTACTTACTGCTTTTCATCTTCCACATTGTTGACCTGAAGAGTAACCTTGGCTCCACCATGCTCCTGGAAGAAAAAAATACTCCATTCAGAAACTAACAAAATAATTTTAGTATTCTACCTTTAAAAAATTTAGAAATTAGACATAAACTAAGGTTTAAACATCCTCAGGCAAAGTCAATCTTAGATGGATTTCGCTATTTTAGGTCCTTTTTTGTCATAAGAGCTCTTCAACTGTTTCAGTTCTGATACATCTTCGGCTTTCAAATATTCAACTTTGAGCATTCCTGATGAAGGTTAATCCAGAATAGGACTTAAAAATTTGGACACATGAAACTTTTAATAGTTGTTTTTTCTGTTTTCTTCAAAAAGATTAATAAGAAACATGTGAAAGTTCATAACTACTGAATAGCAACTGATAATTACATCAATTCTGGAAAGCAGCAACTTAAAGAATATCAAATAAAATTTAAGTCAGAAAAGAGGCAGAAGATACCAAAGGGACTTTCAAAACTCATTAGTCATAGAGAAACTGACATCGCCATGGTGCAAAAAAGGAAAGACAACAAAAAGACAAACCAGTCCACACAACACTGCATAGAAAACTAAGACTGAGCAACATGAACCCCTACAAAAACTCTATGTGGTCCCAGATACCATAGTATTACATAAGTTTAAGAATTAATTAAAAAAAGAGAGTATACAGCTAAAATGTTACCATGATAATAAAATGACAAAAATATTACTTCTATAAAAAATTGAAAACAACACGTTTAATAATTTCATGCGTCCGAAGCGCTTTTCTGGATTTACCTTCATCAGGAACGCTCAAAGCCAAACATATAAGTTATTTTATACATCATCAAACATGTCACAATAATCCATAATTATAATTATAAAAGGAACAGATGTAAATGTTTTGCGTTACAAATCATGAATAACTTCAAGTCTCAATTAAATCATATCAAATTTATTTTCACTTAAGTTAACTTATATAAAGAAAAAAGCATTTATTTAAAGAAAAAGCTTTTATTTAAAGAAACTTTGGAACTAAAACTAGAGGCTCTAAAGATCCAGTGTTGCTCACCTAGGTCTATGTGCATCTTGAACAATGGACACTCTTCAACATTTTGGACTAGAAAAGAACAGTGTCTCCCCAGGTTTTTTTGGATATCACAAGGACAAACCAGCGACAAATTAGAAATAAAGATAACAAATAGTTTGCATAGACATTGCCTCTATCATCTCTCCTGATGGACAGTGCCCAATGAGGTCTTATCTTTTTCTTTTGATTATTTGAGTTGTTATCTGCATGGTAGGGTCATGCAGTAACTTGATTAACATAATTAAAAATAGAAATGAATTTTTCAATGTGGATGTGAACAGTACAATTACCAAGAATGAAATAGTTTATTTTTTTTCTTCAATTATTTTGGTTGCCTATATTGTCACCTTTAGTTTATAACATTACTTTGTTACAGTGTAAACCAACCAGTATACAATTTTGGGTATAAAATCATATTTATAGTTAAACTTTAATTTTGAATTTCTGTATAATACCGGATTGAAATCATTAGAAGTATTGAAGATTTTGTCTCTCATTTAAAATGTTTTATTAATTTCTGTATGTTGACAGCTTTTATTTTCTTATTCAATTACATTCCATTTCAATATTGTGTTATCAAATTTTAATTCATAAATATTTTTATGAATAAACATATTTCATAGAATTCAAGACAAAAATCTTTCTGCTGATCTTGTATTGCTGATCAAATTATTCTGTTAACAACAGTTTCTCTCAATCTTCTTTAGTTTTTACCCAAAACAAAACTAGAGGCTCTAAAGAGCCTATGTCGCTCACCTTGGTCTATGTGCATATATTTTTACACAAAGGACACTCTCCAACATTGTAGACAAGAATAGAATTCATGACAAAAATCTCTGTTTTGTTGATCTTGTATTACTGATCATTTAGTCTGTTTAGTTTCTCTCTATCTTCTTTAGTTTTTGCTCAAAACACAAAAGAGGGTAAAAAGAATCCTCATTTAAGGGCAATCATGCACTCCTACAAAGAGTGACAGTCTACTAACTATATCAGCAAAATTTGACTTATTTCTGGATCTTGCCTTGCTGATCATTTTTGTGATTTAAAGTGTCTATTTATCTATTATAATTTTTATCATATAAGGCAAAATGCAAAAAAAAAGGTAAAAATGGTCATTAAAGGGTAATAACTCAAATCAGGTGTTGTAGGACGATTTCCTATAAATTGTCTTAATTGTAAATCTTGTCTTGCTGATAATTGTTGCTTATTTAAGTTTCTCATCTATCTATTGTAATTTTTAAGATATAATGCAAAAACACAAAAAATTGGTAAAAATCGTCATCAAAGGGCAATAACTCTAATAAGGAGTCAACTGACGATTTCGACCATTGTAGACTTAATTGTATAACTTGACTTGTTGATCATTTTTGCCATTTAAAGTTTCTCTCTATCTATCATAGTATTCAAGGTAATAGGCAAAAATGAAAAAAAATGGTAAAATTTGTCATTTAAGGGCAATAACTCCTATAAGTTGTCTGACAGTTTTGACGCATATAGACAATTGGTAGATCTCAGCATTCTGAACATTTCTGCTCCCATCTGATTTTCTCTATTTATAACGGTTTCAAAATAATAGACAAAACTTGCATTTTACCCTATGTTTTATTTTTAGCCATGTCGACCATCTTGTTTGGCAGGCAGGGTCATTGGACACAATTAATTTTTAAACGTCTACATGTATCTTATCTTTTATAGTTTTTAAGATGATAGGCAAAAACACTAAAAATTGGTAAAAATTGTCATTAAAGAGCAATAACTTTAATAAAGAATCGCCTGACGATTTCTGCTATGTTGATTTATTTGTAGATCTTGTTTTTCTGTGTGCCAGTTTATTTCTGCTTTTTGTATATATGATGATGGAAGTTTTTAACGACCTTGACTGGCTATACAGCCTTCGCACGGTCGGCTATCTATAAATATATGTCTATCTATCTATTAAAGTTTTCAAGATGATAGGCAAAAAAGTTGGTAAAACTGTTATTAAAGAGCAATAACTCAAATAAGGAGTTGACTGACAATTTCAGCCATGTGATCTTGTCTTGCTGATCATTTTCTTTCAAACAGTTTCTATCTATCCATTACTGTGAGTTTTTAAGATACAATGCAAAAACGCAAACAAAATTGTAAAAATTGTCATTAAAGGGCAATAACTCCAATAAGGAGTCGACTGACAATTTCAGCCATGTTGACTGATTTGTAAATCTTTTCTTGTTGATCATTTTTGCTATTTAAGTTTCTCTCTATTTATTATGCTTTTCAAGATAATAGGCAAAAATTTGTAAGGGGTTCTGCGGAACCCTGTGTCTCGCCTTAGATTGCTGCTGTCAGTGTAAAAGTGTAATGTTGTCATAAAAAGTGCGTATATTTATCAGTAAAATACAGAATGTTTAAAAAAGATTCAAACTTTCTTTTTAGATGCTATTTCTTGGTCTTGAAGATTAACTTATGTTCAAGTTTCATAACAATCCATGAAGGTTAGTTAACAAACTTATCATGTCAAAAAAATTTGATCCCTGAGACTGTCAGTAAATGTTAACTGTAAAAAAAGTTCATCTATCAGAAAAATACTGAAAATAAAAATATATTTTCAAAAGTGTGCTTCAGACATTACTCTTAATCATAAAATATATTCATAAAATTCTATGAAGGTTTGACAAAGTATTTGATGTGTAACAAACTTTAACCCCAGACTGTATCAATTTGTTAAATGTAAAAAAAACTGTCCATTCATCAGTAAAATACTGAAAATGAAAATAAAAATTTTCACAATTTTGCTCTGGATACTGTATTTTGGTCAAAAACAAGCTTCTGTCCAAATTTCATCTAATTCCATGTAGGTTTGACAAAGTTATTGATGTCCAAAAAAAAAAGAAACCACAGACTGAACCTAAATGTTGATGCCAAAGCACAATAGGTAGACCTCAACCTTATTAACTTTTCTACCCCTGTCAGATTTTTTCTAGTTATAGTGGTTTTCAAGATTATAGACAAAACTTACATTTTACCCATATATGATTTTATGTTCTATTTTTCTCCATGTTGGTTGGCAGACCTCATCAGACATTTTTTTTTTTAATAGATACTCCAATGATGATTGTGGCCAAGATTGGTTAAATTTTTTGGCCAGTAGTTTCAGAGAAGATTTTTGTAAGAGTAAATGGGTGTCAAGAACGACAAACAAACAACACCGGACACCAAAGGATGAGAAAAGCTAACTTGACCCTAAAAATTAAAGTTGAAAATAAATTTTAATAGTTTAATAGTATCCTACTGCAAAAATAAAAACTTGTTATTATTTAATCATTTGTTTACTATCATCACTTCCAAGTCGGACACAATATTTTATACTTACATATGAATCTCTACGCGAAAATCTTGTTTGTGATTTGTACCTGTTGGCTGAGGTGTCCTGTAAATGTAAGGTAATAGAAATTAAAACAAAAAGGTTTTCACCGTTAGAGTAATCATTTAAATCAGAGACATATAATACAATTTCTCTAATTCTTACCCGATTTATCCTTTTCCTGACCTGTTGATTAATTTTATTAAATCAATGTGTGTTTTTTTTTTTTATCTCAGTTCTTCATTGGTCAAAATTCGATTAAGATGTCAATTTTCTTGCTTTCCTCTGAAATTCCTTTTGTGACGTCATAAAAAAAGGAGACCATGTTTGATGACGTCACATAGAAAGAACACATCTTTTTGTAGCCTGGTCATTCGAAAAGATGGATCAATTAAGATGTCTGCATAATTGTTTAAAAATCATTAGAGAAACAGATTCCACCACTAAATCTCGTGCAATATGATATATTTATCCAATCTCGATAGTTAATTTTCAATATTTAAAACACTCTGCGAGCCTTGCGTTTTAAATTGGAAAATTTAACTGTCTCTGAATAAATATTGTATCACACTCGATGCAGTGGTATATTTATCAAAAAAAGAGTAAAAATGAATAATTTTAATTAGATTGGTAGAAGAGACATCAAAGGAGAAAATGAAAGTTTTTGTCAGAATAAATCATTATATACAAGGATATATTGACCTGAAAGAAGTATATTGACTGAGGACGAAGTCCGAGGTTGATATACTTCTTTGGGTCGATATATTCTGTATTGACCTCATACAAAGGCTATAATTGTATAATATACTATTTAGAGTCATTTCGGCATTTCGGCATTTGATAGTTCAACTGGCACCTAATAACATGAGTAATATTATTTCTGCCTTTTTCTTTCCTTTTTACATGTTTATCTAAGAACAGTTTTTCGTTTTTAGTTATATATATATATATATATATTTGCAAAACTTACAATGTCAGAGGTTCATTTCGTACATCGTTATAAAATCAGCACATGGAATTAAGCAGTAAGAATACACAATAAACAATAATCAGTTGGCTTTCTGTTTAAAGTTTTCTCAATATTCTATTAATAATGTTTTGATTGGTTATCACTTTAAAAACTTATGATTCAGAACTTATATCAAATTACAAACAATAACTCGTTTGTTGTTTTAACAATATTCAGGTAGTTTTTGTTTAATCCACAGATGAGGATAAAAACTAAAATTATCATTGTAATTTAAATTGTTTTTTTTCCCTGCAATTCCTGTCTACTTGTATAAAATGAATAATGTTGGCACCAATCGTGTAGCTGATGTTTATTAGTAATGTGCAGTTGTCATTAAATAGAGGTTCCTTTTAAAGGGGCATTAGCTACGAGATATAAAAAAAATTAAAATATGATTTTTTTTTTTGTTCAATCAATAATGAAAGTGCAATAGTGAAATTAATAATAATTCGCTTTAAGCAGCCAGGTTGGTTCAATTTTGTCAAAATAAGCTAAGAAACATTGATGATGAATTATTCACTTGCAAGTGAATAATTCGACCTCATTGAATCCGTATTCATGTGACCTTCAATTTAACCCCCTAGCTAGAAATGACCTCATTGAATCCGTATTCATGTGACCTTCAATTTAACCCCCTAGCTAGAAATGGCCTTACGCATGAATTCGGCGTGTTCAGTTATTAAAAGGAAAAGAATGTCAACACTGAATGTGAAACAAGGGTAAACCATTTGATTGATAAATTGATCCACAAATACTCATTATTATACAGTTTAAACGATGATTTACATATATTTTCAATCTATAATATGAAATCAAACAGGCCTAGAAAAATCAAATTGCACGAGTTCGCTATCTATTTATATTTATGTTTATATCAGGTTATATGGCCGTCTTCAGTATTCGGAGGTCACCTTGATAGTTAATTAGATGGCGTCTAGACTAAAATACAAATGAAATACTGATACACATTATCGAGTCCATGCATTGTAAATTGTTTATTTCAGACTTTTTATAATTTGGATATACGTTTTAGTATGTTATAAATAAAATATGAGAATTTGCGTCAAATCGGTGAACATAAATTTGACATCTAATAGATATAAGAAGATGTGGTATGAGTGCCAATGAGACAACTCTCCATCCAAGTCAAAATTTATAAAAGTAAACCATCATAGGTCAAAGTACGGTCTTCAACACGGAGCCTTGGCTCACACCGAACAGCAAGCTATAAAGGGCCCCAAAAATTACTAGTGTAAAACCAATCAAACGGGAAAACCAACGGTCTAATTTATATAAAAAACGAGAAACGAGAAACACTTATGAACCACATCAACAAACGACAACTACGGAACATCAGATTCCTGACTTAGGACAGGTGCAAACAAATGCAGCGTGTTTAAACGTTTTAATGGTACCAAACGCCCTTTTAAAGCGTGAGTGTTATATTTTTTCTGTCTATTAAGAAATAACATAAAAAATGTGGTGCACACTGAATAACACGCGTAGGAGTAAATTAAGAAAAAAACGTTGATGACTTCACGGTCACATGACAAAATTATGTCAATGAGCTGATAGACAAAAAAACTTTCAGCCAATCAGAAGACATGTTACATCCGAAATTAAATTACTATTACATATGTTCCAATATGAACGGATAGTATGGCTTCATTATTTCTAAAAAAAAAGTTTCCATTGGAACTTCTGTTACGCGCAACAAATACATGTTGACACATTGCAGAAAGGCAATTAAATTAAAAGTCTATAAATAGTAAGTTGGTTTAGATTATTGAGAAAAAACATTTTTGAAATATGAATATTGAATGACCCAGAGTAATATTTAGTCAATCCAATTTCTTAAAACCAATAGAAGAGTGAAATAAAATCAACGTTCATAAATTTTGTGCCCAGAAGATATTAGATCAAGCAAAACTTTATACCAGTTTAAAGCACTTGTCTTTGATATACATATACCACTAAGTTGACATCAAATTACTAATCCAAACACTATGAATGCAAGAAAAACTAAGAGACGACGGACATGCATGTCAGCAAGGGCCCCCGCTTGCACATTTTTATGTGAGGCAAAGAGAATGATGCATACAAATGTTCATAGGTTGTCATTTTTCATAAATTTTGACACCAGCAATTAATTCAGGATGTGTTCTCAATTAACATGTGTTTTGTGAAAATCCAAGCACTATGACATGTATTTTGCTGGGCATTTTCGTTAATGTAGGGCAACCAATAATTTTGACATAAAGAATCATTTCGTAATTGCAAATGACAACTTTTCATCTAAATCCTAGTAAGAAATATTATTCCTAGAATTTATCCTTTTTTTTTAAAAAAAACTAAGTTTTTAACACAATTTTGACTAAAGTGATTGGCCAAAGCTATGAGGTCAGGTGAGCCATAGATCTATTGCACGGTGAACTAAATTTGGTAATTAGATTGTTCATGCACAACCTCCTATTATAGAGGTTTCCCGATTTGCTACGTATCAGGTACGGTTGGTACGTAACGCAACCGCTAGTGCTGATTTGGAGGTATTATTTAATGCGGGAGATTATTTTATTCATCATGATAAAATTAAAAGAAATAAAAAGTCTATCACCAAAAAACTAGGTAAACTATTTATTTGATTACGATTTCAACGTTTCTATACCACTTTGTTTATGATTCTTTATGAGATAATTTAGTCATACACAAGTGCATGAATCAAACAGACCTTAAACGAACTGAATTGAAACGGCCTTTAGATTCTAAATATAGATTTGCAATTCTGTTTGTAATAGGTATTGTTCGTTTATTTATAGCAAAAAAAAGATTGTTTTCGTACAGACTTTTGAATAATTAATATAATAACTATAAACTACTTTCTAAAACACATGATACTGGTGTTAGTTATATTAGTAAACATGTCAAAATTGGGTAGTTTTCGTATTATAATTACTAGTAGTTCTTGCATGATTTTGAAATTAAGTGTTTATTTTTCAAGTAATCTATTTCGATCATTGCAGCAGAAGATTTTTTTGAGAGGATGAGGGAGCTGAGATTTCATATTGAGGCGAGAAAAGGGCATTCTTCCGTTTTTTCCTCTTCTAGAAATGCATTCTAGAAAGTTAATTCAGTAAAATATTAAAAAATCCGTATTCATTATATTCGGTTGCCAATGCAAAACAAAATAACTTTCTTGAATCATTGAATTTAATTGACTAGAATAATTGTCATAGACAGTTAGTTATTATAGACAAGACAAGACAAGACAATAATATATTATACTAAAATACACTTGTACTGACACTTGTGTTCTTTGAATATTTTATTAGTGCATATTTTATTTGATCCTTTATTCATACTTATAACTTTGGTATATTTACTCATACGTATGAATGACGATTTTTACCAAATTGCAGAAAAATATAAGAATGGTATGGATAATAAATTTGACCAACTATATTAATCTATAATATTAAATTTCTGTCATAAATTACAAAGAATTCTTCCTATTATTTATAAAAAAAACAAAGTAGTGGATCACCAATATTATGTATATATTTTTATCTAAATACTTGCATGCCCAGTCGTGTTCATATTTATTAACTGCAAGAAAAATCTTTGCCTACGATGTTTCACATGTACATGTAGACTAGACAGAGAGTATAATAGGTTTTGTATTTACCTTTAACAATATACATTTTCAATGAGGTCAATTTTGTATGTTAAAATAGCTCTTCTATTATGTTTTCAAAAAGCCTACTCCCCAACAAAGCAAACTTATTAATTTTATACTGTTATATCAATACAGAAGGCAGACATCAAATAAACTATGAATGTGCTTTATATTTAGCTTCTTTCTGCAGGGGAAATAAATCTTGATTATAAACCGTTCGTTGCAACGGTTACTTGAAACTGTTTGTTGAAAGCATAATCGAGTACACAAAATGTCGTTTGTTATGAATAGCTAACATATCTACATGAAAGTTTTACCAAGTTGTAGCTAAAAATCATCCAAATACTTTTGATAATGATTCATATAACTACATTGAAATGAAGGGCATTAATGAATTAATTTCAAAAGATTAATGACGGCTCCCAGTTCGTACTACGGTTGGTACGGTAGCAAATCGGGAAACCTCTATTAGGTGTCGATAAACGATTTCAATCATGCCAACTATAAATGTGACTAAAATATTTATGAGCCGATTCAAACGTTTCCTTTTCGGCGATCTGCAAAAAGGTGTTCTATTGTGTGAGACGTCATCAGGTCATCATAGAAAGGAAATCGGGGAATAAAAAGAACGTTTGGCGTCTCAATTCAATGTTGACTTATGGGCTAAACACAGCCGTTGACTATAAAAATTTATCAAACGACCAGGGGAAATTTTTTTAAAGATAAATCATTTACTAAATGTCAGTAACATTTATAATAACGTACTTACCGGTGAATCCTTTCGCCTTGGATTAGCTGAACAGGATCGTTTTGGTGTAAGCTGGTCATCGAATTTAATTTTCAAGGCATCGTCTCTCCTTAAAATCTAATCAAATTACAGAATATATAATTGTTTTTGTTTTTGTTTTTTTTTTTTGCCATGGCATTATCAGTCGTTTCCACACATGAATTTGAATATCCCTCTCTTAAGAAAATTATAATTAGCCATCAAACAGAATGGTCTTATCGGCTTAGTTGTCTCGTGGTGGTGTACCCTTTTCTATTGCGGGTGGTCGTGCGTTCAATATCGGGCCAGGTCACAGTCAAACCATAACTTGTAAATTTATTTATTTGCTGCTTCCCCGCCATTTAGCGGGATTTAAGAGAAAGAGCAACAAATGGTCTGCTCGGAGCTGGAATAATGTGTCACCTGGTAGGGGGATGTCTTTTTGCGGATTGTTGGCTTATGAAGTACGAGCATGTTAAATATCCGTCTCAGTACGTGTGTCTTTCTAGTACAAAACAGAATTCATATTTATATCACCTTAACGTGTTCTCGTCCCGATATGCATGTTATATTTGCCACAGGAAGCTAAACACTAATTCATCAGTATCATCCAAAACAAAACGAAAAGGAGCTAATATATAATAAATTTGGTAATTTTTTACGTGGTGTTGGCAACAGGGCAACATATTTCTAGACTAGGGAGATTCCGTCCGCATTTTGATGACATTGCAAAGTCTACGATCAGATACTGGCATAGGCTTGACAATTTTGGTTAATCTTTTCCATGACTGAAGAAGGCATATTTAGAGAAAAAATTGCTACTCGAGTCAAACTTGAATTCCGTCATGGTATGGATCCTTAAAACTTCTTTATTAACAAACATAAAAGGTGTAGCAAGTTTAGCTTCTGTAAGCAATTATGGCTTTGGAATTTTATACAGAAAAAAATCTCATGGTACCAGTACTATGATGATCAGTGGAGACTCTAAATGCACAATTGTGCTGATGGAAAGCTCTGTAGCTACAGCACTTCCAAGACAAATTTTGGTCTTGAAAGATATCATATCTCAATGTATTACGATCCCCTGAGCAGAGGAGAAATGTTGATATATTAATATCTGTTTGTGATTTGATTGATAAAGGCAAAATATAGATCTAGCTTCTCAGTTCTAGGGACGAGGATGCCAGGGTGATTACCTAATAGTCCCAGCCTAGACTCACCAATAATAATAATATGAACGTTTGTGTGTATTTTATCATAGGCAATCAGAACTATTCCTATATATATATATATATATATAAACAAGTCTAAATTGAAAACAACGTTCAAACCTATGATTGCGTTGGATAAAAACCGCAATTTTTATACGTGTGCATGCAAAAAAAATTTCTTGTTAGAGGGGTCAAAATACAGCACAAACAACATTTTCCAAAAGACCAAAAAAGTGAAAAAGTATATTTTAACAAAACGCATTTGACTAACAGGTCGAACAACAAATGTTCTTAAACCCTGCTGACTGCCATAGGCGATTGCCAAATAAACGAATCACTGATGTAATAAATGGATCTTAATTATAAATTAAATACTAAACAGAAAACAATAAACTTGCGGAAAAGATGAATATATATATACAAGTATATAGCATGTCATTTAGCATCCTCCCTTGGTGCCTCCTGCATTCGTGTCACCTTACAGTATTATCAACTCCTTTGCATCAGACACGAGGATGACGTGCAAGTGCATCTTCTCTTAATATTTTTAACACGTTTACCGTGTGCGTCTGTCACCCGCCTTGCTTGACATGCAGTACCGTCCCTTCGTGGCTTTTGCAGTTAAGTTATAAATATCAATTGTATTGCCAAATCATTAAAAACACTTATTTATGTTGGTTGTGCCTGACAAATGTTTATTTCGTTTTGTGTATACTTGATTATTGTTTTTTTTGTGTGTCTAAAACAATGTCTTATATTTAAATATGTTCTTTGTGAGCCCATTAAATGGAAAATTAAACTTCTTCTTCTATACTTCGTGACTCGTCATCATATATAATATTTTGGTTCATTTAATTTCGTTTAGCCCATTTTTTTATTTTTTTTATTTTTTCGTCCATCACGTTTCTGTTTCGTTTCGTTTCGTTTCGTTTCGATCACGTTTCTGTTTGTCTGTTTCGTTTCGTTTCGTTTCATTTCTTTTCTTTTTGCTTCGCATCATGGTGCGGAGCTATTAGTTTCAGTCGATATACACGCCTTCTTGAAATAATTAAAGATTCTGAATGGTTGCTTTATGATGCGGCTGAGATACAGCAACAGCTATAGGCTTAACTGAGATAAAGAATTACAGACTTTTCTCGTCTCAGGATAAGACAGCAAATGCCGGAAAATTAACTATGTGTATTTCAGTTCCGATCAACTGTCATTAATTCATGTTCGTTTTATTATGCATATATTGCACACTGAAATACAATATTGAAATATCAATTAATACGTGTTTATTTGCTTTGTTAATCTGCAATATGCACGATTTTTTTTGCTCAACAATGTTCCTATACAATGCTTACAAAAATCTGCATTTTATAACTTCTGCCAATCTAGGCACACCTCCAGAATACTAATTCAACAACCACATGCACACATATTACCTCAAATTAGGATAGAGCGAAGCAGTCCACAGTTTTTTAGAAAGCTCAAACTTGTTTTCTTTTACTTTTCCTTTTTTTCCCCCGTTTCGTTTCTATTTCGTTTTGTCCTTTATAGGCACCCAAACATCGGGAATCAAGAATCATGTACTATGCACTAGATACTTGTTGGCTTTGTTGTTGATCTGAATTTTTCAACCAGTATTTTATATTGCGTATCTATAACAATAGTTGTGTTAAGGGTTTCCCTATTTTGTTTGCCAAAGAACTACAACCCTAGGGTTTATAATAATGGTTTATATCTTATTTTTCTTACTTCTGGTATTATAGTGAATCGGGACAAAAGAGCAGGTGTCCCCATTTGCTTCAAGGTACAAAAATTAAGAGAAAAAATAATTCCTACCTATTTTTCTTCAGGAGGAAACCATAAAATATACACATTTTATTTTGGTACCGTTAACGTTTAAAATTTACCTTACGATCGTACAGCCTTTGAACCATGTCAGCAGCACAATTTGAAACCTGGTTATGATCAGCTTTTTTATCCCTTATGATAGAATCAACCCTACGATACAACAAGTCGAGTTCATTTCTCATAGAATACAAATTTACTTCAGCTAGTTTAGGCATAGATTTCTCTCCTAGATTACAGGCAGATTTAACTCTTTCTTTACAATTTACGTCGCATACCACTACTACTGCCTTGGCATATGTCTTGTGAGGTTTATATTTTTGTTCGCATATGACAGTCTGCAAACATCGTTTGGCCGAATTGGGTCTTTGTTTCACTTCATAAATTTTCGTGGGGTTTGGTGTACGCCCTTGTGAATTCATGATGTCTTAATAAATACTTTATGTGAAGCCTCTCCTGAAATTAGAACAAAGTTTGCATATGAACCATTCAAAATCAATAGTCGTGTTGATTGAATCTATATGTAAAATAAAATAACTTGCGTGATTAAAATCTATTGTAAAAAAAACTATTATATCAGTTTGGACCAAATTATCAACAATCACAATCCCTGTGTCACACAAGAGTCTGCGTCTCTCTGCATCACAACTAACTTTGTGACAGGACTCCAAAAAATATTTGTTAAGTTTGCAATATGATGGTTGATAATTAACAGTATAAATGTTTGAAGACCCTGTGTCTGCAACATGACCTGATTAAAGCTTAACCAAGCAAAAGGTGAGTGCAAGTTTCAGATTTGAATAAAATGCAGATGTATTAGAGTGGTCTTTTATTTCCCACTAAGATAATGTATTAATGTGTACAAACTTTCACCTCTGTGTCCGCTTTGATCCATTAATATTCTTTTTTGTTCATTTTTTGTTAAAACAACTTGTTTAAATTTTATATTCAAATTTTGGTATTTCTAGGAACAAGCAAGACATTGGTTGAGACTATTTCCACTGTGACAATGAACAAAATACGCCGGTAATCCCCCTCTGAACAGATATTCGGAAATTCTAGTGTATTGAAACTAGTATACAACTGACATGACATATTCTAACTGGGTCAACTTGAATTTTAAGCTACTTCTCAGTAATCAGAGAACTTACGTGGCTTAAGCTCTAGTTCTCAAAATCGGTCCGAAACCGTCATACGTAAAACGGGTTGTGGTCTGGCTAGAACGTATAGCTTTGGTGAGACCGTAATGTCTTTAATGCGACCCTAGTTGTTCTTAAAACGTTCTCGATACGTTCATCTCGTTTTTATCCCGTTTGCAGTCCGTTTATATTCGAGCTGCAAAGTTATCAATGTTTCTGCATATAAGTAATCAAATGATGAACCAGTGAGAAGGCGGCCTCTTTTTATACCATACATAGTCTGATTGTACTACAGACGGGGTTTATGTTCTGTGTTCTTATGTTGCATAAGAACACAATAAACGTACTCAAAACGAGTAGAGCGTACCGAGAACCTACTGCGAACTTTTAGAATTGTCTAAAAACGTGTTGCTAACTTGTTCAGAACTTGCTATTTTTATTTTGATCGTATTTAGACGGAATATAAAGACGCTCTAAGTAAGGACCTAATGAGGTCTGTGTGTGAATGGTATATTTGTTTTACGAACGGATCGCTTCGGTGTGCACACGTACATCAAATTGACACCTGACAACACCACCTTTCACACGTCCATAGTACGTGCCAAGTACGACAGTTCCGTTCGTAGTACGTCCATCTCGTTTAACAATGTTTAAGTACGTTGCCACTCCGTCTAAAATGCAGGACGGGATGGTCGCCCAGAAATTTTGAGCAGGCTCAAAGTTCTGGAGCACCATTCCCGACCAAACCCGTCCACGAAGTTCGTAAACACTAAAACAGACCGTAAAACGTTGTTACTAGGTCCACTCTGTTTGTACAAAGTTTAAGGCCGTTTGGCTACAGTTTTGCAGAATGCAGTGAGAACGACTCGACTTTGGTGTGACGGAGGCATCACATTTAAGATTTTAGTCCAATGAAACTTCGAATTATCGAGCGGTCCCCTTTACACATGACCATATGATTTTTCATGCATGTAGCCTGAGCATGTAGCATACATCCTACATTATCCTTGATTACATTTGTGTTGTACAATATTTTATCTGTTTGTATTTGATCCAATAGTAACAGTAACAAAAATACAAGCATTTAACCACAGGTACATGTATATATATATATATATATATACTGAATACACTATAAAAGTACCTCTCGTACCCGTGCATTTTTATACTGGTAATTAAACTATCAAAAGTGAAAGTAAATTGATGGCTTATTTTTTTAACTTATATTGGTCATGAATCAACTTGTGTAGGAATTCTTATCTAAATGAACTCGAAATGGTTAATTCAGGAATCGCCTTTAGATATCCCTTTTTTTATATGTAGCGCCAAATTACTAACAAGTCACGACAGCGCAGTATAAATTATAAAATACATCATATCCTCAACAATGAATTATATAGTATTTGAAGAAGTAGATTGGTTTGTAACTTTACCTTGTTATTCTGTATGTCTGACAAGATATCTGTTCGGTGCTACCCCCAGTCCAGATGCAACCCGTTCATCATGCTTGCGTGCTTTTGTCTTGTTTACAGATTTTGTCAAGGAAGTAAAATGTAATGTGTTTGATACCTGAGATAATGGGTCAAGTTTAAATTTAAAATTTAAAATTTCATACTGTGTCAAAATCGAAAAAATAAAATAAAAAAATTAATCATAAAACGGCTGTGTTTGGTCTTTGTTTCAAAACGATGTTATTAACAGTTATGAAATTCTTCAGAATTAGATTTTTTTTCGTGTATTATAAAAGAATGTCAACTACGGAAAGAGATCGAATAACTGACCCGGAAAATGCAATTATTTATACTGAATATATAATAGTGGTTTCATATCATATCAGTAAAAATAATACGTTTCACAAGTACAAATGATAAACAACAACAAAAATAAACTTATTTGAATACACATACAGATACAAAAAAATGTATGTGTATTAAAAGCCAGAATTGGTATCTTCGACGTTTATTATATTCCAATCAGTTTAATTTTGGCCAGTCAGCGATAAATTGTTTATCAAGTGTCCTCTGCTCCAATTTAGCTGATTAAGATTTTAAAAAGAATTCATTCAACGCAGTTGAACAATATATTACATGATGTAAATGGAATTGTAAAGTATCACACATTTAATTGCTTTTGATCGACACCGAAAAGGGGGATACTATTTTCTGTGGAATTAAATCGAGCGGCTTTGTTCCTTAGTGTAACGACACTTGACTGTTAGCTAGGGGTTGACCATTTGATTCTGAGGGTAGGGGGGATTTTATGAGATCGGAATATTTTATCCAATTTAAATGCGGCCATACTATGTATTTTCACTCATATCAGGGCCAGAATATATATATTTCTGCTCATCAAAAACTTCAAGCCCCCTTTCCACCATCATAATCAAATGGTCGTCCCCTGAAAGCTACATGCTGATCTTAAAATCTGAAATAAAAATATATGTATGTTCAGTACATGAAAAGATTATAGCATACCATTACTTCTTGAACTATTGAATACCTTTGTAAATTTGGCAACTGAAGCCAAACAAATATTTTGAACATTTTTGGACCATGATATTATATTTTCATGAGAATAGTAAGGAGAATATTTATTTTCATGTGTGAACAAGCAAGATTATATTGTTTTTAATTGAGAATATCTATTTCCCAAATCTGCCAGCCCCCTTTTCAGAATCAAATGTTCATCCCTTTGACAGTTGATAACGTTTTATGTGGAATTAAAAGGAGTGGCTTCATCATACTACGGAACACGTTATCAAAGGATAGCATTTTTAGTGGAATTGAATAGAAGTTATAGGCAAGTAACTCTACAGATGCAGAGTCATTCCGAAATAATAAGTTATAGTTAATATGACTCAGATAATTAAAATCCTTTCACAATAACTTTTTATCGATATAAAATATTACATGTAGTAGCCAATCGACCGTGCGAGGGCTTTAAGTTAGGAGCCTCTGGCCTTTGTTAGTCTTGTATATTTTTAATTTTAATTCATTTATATGTTTTGAAGTTTAATGTGAAGTCCATTTTCATTGAACTAGTACACATTTTTGTTTAGGGGCCAGCTGCAGCCCGCCTCCGGGTGCGGGATTTTCTCGCTGTGCTGAAAACCCATTGGTGGCCTTCGGCTGCTTTCTACTCTTTGGCCGGTTTGTTGTCTCTTTGACACATTCTCCATTCCCATTCTCAATTTTATTTATAGCCAGTCAATGTCGTTAATCACACCCATCAGACAGTAGCCACAGTAAACAAAGTGAATTGACTTTTGATCTTTTCAGTTTTACTCAATATATCATCAGATTTCTGTTAATGTATCATGTGCATTGTGAATAGTTAACTTGGAACCTCGGCCTGATACCTATATAAATATGTAAATTATATGGCCTTCCAAATACCATTTCGATTCCTAACATCACTGAAGAGACATTAATTGTCGAAACCCGGATATGGTGTACTAATTTGTGCACCTCATGTTTGCGGTATACCATCTTTTCCGCAAGTTTATTGTCTTCTGTTTGATATTTAATTGATAAATAAGATCCATTTTGTTACATCTGGTGATCCGTTTATTTGGCAATCGCCAGTGGCATGTAGTAGGGTTTAAGAACACCTGTTGTTCGACCTGCTAGTCAAATGCGTTTTGTTAAAATATACTTTTTCACTTTTTTTGGTCTTTTGGAAAAAGTTGTGTGTGCTGTATTTAGACCCCTCTACCAAGAAATTTGTTTGCATGCACACGTATAAAAATTGCGGTTTTTATCCAACGCAATCATAGGTTTGAACGTTTTTAACAATTTAGACTTGTTTATATACATATTTATATATATATATATATATATATATATATAAAGTGCCTAGAAAATCAACCTAACAATGTTAGAGTAGATTTGATTCTTTACTTCCTCCCCGAGCGGGGCTGGAACCTGTACTTTTCACTTCATACTTCTACGGCAACACCGCCTAGCATTGCGCAGACACCTTATCCCCTCCTCTAACTATAGCTGATAAAAAAATCAGCTTTCGTTTCGGGAGGTGTTACCTTCTCGTAGGAATTAGACAAGGACATCTAGACGAAATACACAAAGTATTTTTAAGTGTACAGAAATGATCATCTACTCATCTCTTTAGTATAATTACAGGATGCTGGCTTATATATATATATATAAACAAGTCTAAATTGAAAACAACGTTCAAACCTATGATTGCGTTGGATAAAAACGTGTGCATGCAAAACAAATTTCTTTGTAGAGGGGTCTAAATACAGCAAAAGACCAAAAAAGTGAAAAAGTATATTTTAACAAAACGCATTTGACTAGCAGGTCGAACAACGGATGTTCTTAAACCCTGCTGACTGCCATAGCGATTGCCAAATAAACGGATCACAGATGTAACACAATGGATCTTAATTATATTAATTTAATACCAAACAGAAAACAATAAACTTGCGAAAAAGATGTTATACCGCAAACAAAAGGTGCAAAAATTTGTACACCATATCCTGATTTCGACAATTAAAGTCTCTTCAGTGATATTAGGAATCGAAACGGTATTTGGAAGGCCATATAATTTACCTCAATTTGGGATTGACTCTTGAATTTTGAAGAGTCGAAATAGGATGAACGGATCATATAAACCCGAAGGCAAATACAATACAAGCCCAAACGAAAAAATATAAACAAGTCTAAATTGAAAACAATGTTCAAACCTATGATTGCGTTGGATAAAAACCGCAATTTTTATACGTGTGCATGCAAAACAAATTTCTTTGTAGAGGGGTCTAAATACAGCACAAACAACAATTTTCCAAAAGACCAAAAAAGTGAAAAAGTATATTTTAACAAAACGCATTTGACTAGCAGGTCGAACAACGGATGTTCTTAAACCCTGCTGACTGCCATGGCGATTGCCAAATAAACGGATCACAGATGTAACACAATGGATCTTAATTATATTAATTTAATACCAAACAGAAAACAATAAACTTGCGAAAAAGATGTTATACCGCAAACATGAGGTGCAAAAATTTGTACACCATATCCGGATTTCGACAATTAATGTCTCTTCAGTGATGTTAGGAATCGAAACGGTATTTGGAAGGCCATATAATTTACCTCAATTTGGGATTGACTCTTGAATTTTGAAGAGTCGAAATAGGATGAACGGATCATATAAACCCGAAGGCAAATACAATACAAGCCCAAACGAAAAAATATAAACAAGTCTAAATTGAAAACAACGTTCAAACCTATGATTGCGTTGGATAAAAACCGCAATTTTTATACGTGTGCATGCAAAACAAATTTCTTTGTAGAGGGGTCTTAATACAGCACAAACAACATTTTCCAAAAGACCAAAAAAGTGAAAAAGTATATATATATATATATAAGTCTAAATTGAAAACAACGTTCAAACCTATGATTGCGTTGGATAAAAACCGCAATTTTTATACATGTGCATGTAAAACAAATTTCTTGGTACAGCACAAACAACAGTTTCCAAAAGACCAAAAAAAGTAAAAAAGTCTATTTTAACAAAACGCATTTGACTAACAGGTCGAACAACTGATGTTCTTAAACCCTGCTGGCTGCCATTGGCGATTGCCAAATAAATTGATCACCAGATCTAACAAAATGGATCTTAATATTAATTTAATACCAAATTAACAGAAAACAATAAACTTGTGGAAAAGATGGTATACCACATACATGAGGTGCAAAAATTTGTACACCATATCCGGATTTCGACAATTAATGTCTCTTCAGTGATGTTAGGGATCGAAACGGTATTTGGAAGGCCATATAATTTACCTCAATTTTGGAAAGACTCTTGAATTTTAAAGAGTCGAAATAGGATGAACGGATCATATAAACCCGAAGGAAAATATAATACAAGCCTAAACGAAAAAATATATAAAAGTCTAAATTGAAAACAACGTTCAAACCTATGATTGCGTTGGATAAAAACCGCAATTTTTATACATGTGCATGTAAAACAAATTTCTTGGTAGAAGGGTCTAAATACAGCACAAACAACAGTTTCCAAAAGACCAAAAAAAGTGAAAAAGTCTATTTTAACAAAACGCATTTGACTAACAGGTCGAACAACTGATGTTCTTAAACCCTGCTGGCTGCCATTGGCGATTGCCAAATAAATTGATCACCAGATCTAACAAAATGGATCTTAATATTAATTTAATACCAAACAGAAAACAATAAACTTGTGGAAAAGATGGTATACCACAAACATGAGGTGCAAAAATGTGTACACCATATCCGGATTTCGACAATTAATGTCTCTTCAGTGATGTTAGGGATCGAAACGGTATTTGGAAGGCCGTATAATTTACCTCAATTTTTGAAAGACTCTTGAATTTTAAAGAGTCGAAATAGGATGAACGGATCATATAAACCCGAAGGAAAATATAATACAAGCCCAAACGAAAAAATATATAAAAGTCTAAATTGAAAACAACGTTCAAACCTATGATTGCGTTTGATAAAAACCGCAATTTTTATACATGTGCATGTAAAACAAATTTCTTGG